CAGCAACAACAACAGCAGTAACAACATCAGAAGTAGCAGTAGCAGCAATAACAGCTCACCTGAAAGTGTGAAATAATATTCCACAGCAACCCCAGAGTGATTTTAGGATTTCCATCCACAATATCATTATTACTGATGTTTACCAGTTTGATCTGGAGAGGGAAAAAAATATATCAATAATGATTGAGGTAATAAAGAGCAAAGATTGTGAATCAAGGGTAGAGAAACCATGTTGCACTCCCCTCTCACCCATGCCTATGGTTCAAAGAGAACAGTTTTTCATTGGTTTTTATCCAGGTTCCCCAGTTTTTCTCCCTCAATGAAACATCACATGCTAAATTCCAATTCACTCTGTGAGTTAGCCTTGCCCTGACTTAAATCAGCCAATCTTGGTAAAGTTTGACTCATGTGCCACCATTCCCCTCCCCATCCCCCTCCCCTCTTGGTAAAGTTTGACTTAAGTCCTGACTTACATTGTAGTTTTCCAGTGCCATCATGACATTGTTGACATTATTAAGATGATGAACACGCATGTGCCCTCTTTCACGTTTCTATGGAAACAAACATTTACATTAACTTTAATATTATATTACATAGGCCCTCAATCCCACAATCCTTTCTTATCTGCATTTGATGTCTAGTACAGTAGGAAAGCATGGGTGGCATAGCGGTGAGAGCGCTTGCCTCTCATCAACGCGACCCGGGTTCAAGTCCCGCTGGGCTCGTTGTGTATGTGAGTAGAGTTGTCTGTTATTTCTCTCCTGTGTTTAAGGGTTTTGCTCTTGGTTCTCCAGTTTTCATCCCTTCGTAAAAACCAATTGGAATTTCAGTGGATTAAGAGCCACTCTTTGGAAATGCCTGTTCTAAATCCTATTTAATTTTATTTATTTGATGTTAGCCTCCTTCATAGGCATCTCTTTGGCTCTTTTTGCTTCTTCAGCTTCCTGTGCTAAGGACAAAAATGACGAAGGGGGAAGAGGATTCTTCTCCCCCTTCCTCCCTCATCCCCACCCCTCCTCCTCTCTTGTTCCCCCGGGGGTTTGGATACTCCCCTATATTCGCTATACGGATACGTACTGCCAAACAGGGTATGGTTTTCAGCGATTCTACTCTGGAACAGGGTATATAAAATCACGCTCTGGAACAGGGTATGAATTTCAGCGATTTTTACTCTGGAACAGGGTCAGGGTTCAGAAGGCTCAGCGGCACATCCCTACCCTAAACGGGCAAGAGTACCCCCCACTCCCCCTCAGGCTTGTTCCTAGTTCTTCACTGCCATAAAATTTAACACAGGACGCCCAACAGAGAATATATGGGGTAGCCTGCATAGGATGGCTCATTTGACGCCTAATTTAATCTTTTTGTTTTTAATGAAATTGAAAAGAATAAGTTTGATGTCAATCATGGAAAATAATGCATTAACAATACTCACAATTTTCTTGCCACAAAGGATTTCCAACAATGTTAAAAGTGTTGTGCCATCCCGCAAATCCTCAAATAGGTTGACGACACGCACATCAGAGCCAGCCTGATATAAATGATATTAGAACACACTTAGTAAAACTGCCGTAAATCTAATTATTACTATTATGATTATTATAAGTAGTAGTAGTATTATCATTATTGTTATTATTATTATTATTTATATTATTATTATTATTATTATTATTACAGTCTGATGCATAGTATTAATGATTAATATAGACTGTACGCACCTTGGCAAGCTGTGAGTTGAGCCACTTGGTAAATGTCTTTCTCTGAGTCCCTTCATGTTCATCTTAAAAATATAAATAAAATAATAATATAATTCTTTGTTTGCAACCATGTGGTTATTGCTGGTGCCAGGATATTTTTCGGTTCCAATCAAAAAACCATCCTAATGACCATGCAGAGCCACCAATAATGAAACTTTGAGCTAAAAATTGGAGCATTAGAGCCTTTCTGAAACGAGCTATGGTCGAATGAAGTTTCCGATTTTATAGTGTAAATATATGACGAAAACTCGCTGGTGGACTAATTTGGTCCACTAGCAATGGAGGCCAAATTTAAAAAAAATATTTCATGCAGGCAACAATATCAAACTCACTTTAGACGTGCGTAAATCAAACTTAAGACATTTAAAACAATAAAAATATTTCATTTAGCGATTTCTTTTTCATTTTTATGACTTTTCAGACCCGTAAGAAGTGTAAGGTCAGAATTACATCAAGAAAATCAAATTTGCACAACTCGGAAACAAAACGATGAAACGATCTGAAATTTTCTACACTTAGTCACATCATAGTKCTCTAAAACATATCGAAGAATCGAGTTTATAGCATTCATAATTAATTTTAAGTTGTTATTTTCTTGCTCTATGACGTCACGTGCAAACGAAGAATAAGAAATGCAAGGCACTTCTAGTATATATAACTAATAAATCGTTAAATAACTTTTATATATATCTCGTTCTGATTGGTTGATAGCACATTGTTTATGGAGACTACAAAGCACATGAGCACTTGCTATTGTAATTCCCACATGTATACAAAATAATAATTATTTGTATTTCATAAAAGAAGGAATCAAAATCAAAGGTTTCAAAAGTTTCTCAAGTCTCTCAGTTGTTGACTTTATGATGTAATCTGGGGAATGTCTAGACTGTAAGGGCATAGTTTGAATGAAACTGATATGGAAAACCATGTAACATGAGTACCAATACCTGTATTATATAGAACAAATTAAGAGGAAATGTTTTTCAATAACGAAGAAGATTTGTATGAGTTTGATCCCAATTTTCTTTTTGTGTTAACACTACTCAAAACCTTCTTTAAACAACTAGAAACTGATGTACCACGATAAAATGCCTGTTTGAAGTGATATTTTCAATTGTACAAAGATGTTTTGTTGCATTTGTGTTAAAATGTTGCTTTGTTATGCCTTTTTATAGAAAATGTATGGGACATAAGCAAAAGAAGACTTAAACCTCATTTTCGAATAAAATGTTTGTTTTGGGTTAACACTTTGATTGCACTTTCATCGGTCATCTCCACTTCCAAATAAGCTAAACTTTCTGAATAACAAGATTTTAGCCTTGTACAACAGCCTTTCTTCAAGAAAATAGTTTTTGGCGCTCACCGCTTGAATACGAAAAGAATTCTCTCTTAATAACATCTAAGTTGACACTGAAGTATTGTAACAAATTCAAAGTTTGTAACTATATGAAAAAGAAAACAGGATTTGAAAGTTTTTGTGTCAGACTTGTCAATCAAATCAATCTATTGAATGTTTTCATGCATTTTGATTGGTTCATACAAGAAGCCATTGAAGTGACAGGTACCATTTTTCCTACTCACTATCAATTGAGCACAGAAAAAGCTGTTTTATTTTTTAACTGGAGAAAGGAAAACTAGAGAACCCAGAGAAAAACTATTGCAGCTAATGCAGTAATGTCCGCTAGAATTAAATGTCATGAACTAATTAGTGTCAATCTAAAAACAGGTTGCAAACAAAGATTTGCACCAGACCCCTCTCTCTAAATAATGACCTTAACGACCGCTAAGCAACAAAACAAAACGATTACAAAAACAAGGGAAAAAAAACAGGAAAAAAAAAAAGGTATTTATCGTCCTATAGTCGGTCTGGATGAGGAAAAACTGTGCCCTCGGTCTTGAAAAAAAATATTCAAGACACCTCAGGCACAGTTTTTCCCTATCCGGACCTCCTGGCCAGTAAATAACATATATGTCCCTAACTGCTATAGCCTGCAAATAACGCTATTAAAATTCCAAATATTCAGTGGATACACACTTGGAAAACATAAACATCAGCCTCATATAGAAACATGGGTTATACAGGTGAAAGTACTTGCCTCTTAAAGTTGAACTTAAAGTTTTATTTTTAATCAAATAAATTTTGAATTTTTTAGCAAATATTTGAAGCTATTAGGATCAACATAAGAAATCACCCCAGCATTCAAAAGATTTTATTGTACTTTGTATTTGTATACATTAGAAAGAACAATTGCTAATCCACCTAGTTGTATGGTCAATAACAATAGAATTGTTCAATTGTCTAATAATCCTTCCCAACCTTATACAAGGTAGGTAGCATTTTTATAGGATCCTCGATGTATGTATGCAAGGTATCTGATACTGTATCAGTATTTTAACAAGAATTTACAACTTGTGTTTTAAATGAAATTTACCAAATAATGTTCAATTGAAATCAAATCTGTAGTATGAGGGAATAAAGAGTGGTGTAGTGGTACTGCACTTGGCTGTCACCTTTGAGATCTCAGGTTTGATTGCTGGATTTGGCATCAAATCTGAGCAGAGTTTGTTAGATCTTTCCCTTCACTTGAGGGTTTTTCTCCAGTTTTCATCCCTCCGTTAAACCACTTGATTTGTCAGTTATTCATGCCCTGACTTAAATCAGCTCAGAGGGTTTCGGGGTTTAATAATATTGAAGAGTTTTTTCCTATATAGTAAATATAACTTTAGAACAAAAACTACGAAGTTCTATATATATAAGAGCGATTTTTTAAACAGGTACAGCTTCAAAACAACTTTAAAGCAGGTTCTTAATTGGAATCATGTAAACAATAGAAGATTTTAAATTGATTCCTAATTGAGTAACAACAACTGCAAGTCTATTAACACTTCTGTAACAACTTTGAAGTGGAATATATACAACCACAAGAGGACACAACAAGTAATTTTCAAGAGAAAACTTTCTTCTACGAATCGATAAAGTCGATATCTTGGAATTTGTAACCATAATACTATAAAGTACAAGTACATTCCATCAACAATTAACGAAACACTGAACACATTATTGTTAAGTGACCAATATTATCTTCCTTGATCTTATAACCTTGTCAACAAAAATATAAGATTATTTAAATAAATGCAGTTTCACACAACGCTGAAATCTAAATACACTTACATATTGATACAAAAGAGCATGGTCAAATTCAGTGAGCTAGTCAAATTATGTCCTTATATTGGATTATTTATGAAACAACTATGCTTACGCTCCATAACGGGAAAAGAACGCTATAAATGATTTTCCGACGGCAAGATGTGATAAAATCTTGAGGTTAGCCAAAGAACTCTTCAAAAATGTCTGAAGTTGTCGATATTTTGGACAAAAAATACAAAGTGATTGCTAATGAACTATCACTTTTATAACCTCTTGATTATGGAATGTTAACTTCGTCTAACTGATTTTCTCCGAGTTCGTTGGAGAAAGAATAAACGATGAAAATAACTGTTCGCAAAGCCGTTTTGCAGGCATTCTGTCATTGCGCACGTGCTGAAGGGGTCCTAGAATGCCTTTTTGATAAACCTGTCTAGAAAATTCGGAAAGATTATATAGAAACTTAGGGATGGAATAACAATTAGCTTATATACACTTTATTTATATTACTTTGCATGTAATATTAAAGTCACTCAAACATTTCTTTGCAAATTTTATAATATTTTATAGTTCTATAACAAATGATGGGAAAAAATAACGAATACTAGATGCCTTAAAATCCAAATAAAAAACCTTAGATATTTATTTTTGGATGTAAATAATTATACAATTATAAGTTTGTCGTAAGAGTCGAGGTCACAGATGCGGCGAATGCTAAACTGGCCAACGCTACATTCATTAACTCCAAATCTGTCCAAATAAATCAAACTTACAATTATTCCAAAAATACACCAGTTAGGGCATTCTAATATTCATTGCCTTCACTAGTCATCTTGATTGATGGTTTTTCAGCAAGCAGTATAGGTAAGAAGGCAGACCATATTTAGCTATCGCATACAACTATGCCTTCACTCCAAAACGCATTCGTCTGAAACTCAAGTTCGACTTTCGGGATTTTTTTATTTTTGTAAAAAAATTAAGATTCTTATTTATATGACCTTACCTGATTTGGACTTAATCTTGAGAGTAAAAGTTCCACTATCGTCTGGCTCGTTTAAATCCATTATTTACGAAGTCTGAAGCGAGTTTTTAAAGTCTTTTTTGAGCGACTCCTCGAAGATAAAATTCCACTCGCGTGCGACTTTTGAATTCCGTTATTAATAGATAAAGTTCATGCCAAATTCCAGCGTCGATAAAAAGACCTTTTAAACAACTGAAGTAATCCAAAGAAGCCTTGAGCACTCCTGAGATAAGAGCCAAAAGCTACACAGCTGCTTAGGACTTTCAAATGAGCAACAGGCTGCAGTAGTTTGATAGAGAAGAACTTTGATTATCAAAACACAAAACACTCAAATTAACAGCTTGGAATTTCGTCTCGCCTGCGTTTTACTCCCTAAGTTCAAGGCTCAAGTGAGAGAGCAGTTGCTAAACTTGGACGCAGAGATGCTTTTCTCACGGAATATTAGGTGGAGTGAAGTCAAAACACAACACATTCAGAAAGCATTTCCGAAGCGATTCGGTCAAGCGAGGAAGAAGTGATGATCCAAGTCCCTCGAGGATGGCCTGTCATTTAATGACAAGCCGATTGTCTTTGGACCAATCACGACGCGCATTAGGAAATGTCTGGAACGCGCAATATTCGAGATTCGCGGGAATTTGCTCTAAAATTCCCTAAAATTTTGTAAATTTTTTCTTTTTAGTTTTCAAAATTTTCATTTTTCATTTTTGAAAAAACAAAAATCGAGGCGTCTTCTCTCGTACTTGAGGTATTTTCTCTTTTTCTGCTTTTTTTTCACGCGCAAAAACTGGGATGAGTTCTACTGGGCTACAATCATCGCTATTGAATGAGAATGATACAACATCAACTTAACACTATATGTAAACGACTTTTGATATAGCTACTTCAAAAATGGTTGGTAAAAGTTATGTTGCATGTTGCATAGGAAGCCCGAACAATGATATGCAATTTTCCTAAACTTTGTCTGCACATTTTTCCAGCATAATTACTTATGAACTGTCGACATCATTTACATATCAATAACAAACTTCAAGCCCAGCAGCTAATAAGCAACATGGAACATGCAACATACAAAATATAATTATTTATTATTTATTAATTATTATTTATTTCACGTAATAATAAATTTATGATAGATAATAAATGATAAATTTCAAGCCCAGCAGCTATAAGATGCAAGATGCAACATACAAAAAGAATTATTTATCGATTATTTACTAATTATTAATTATTTCGTCGAGCATGCGCAGTAAGAAATAAAGTCTCTGGATACGAGATTGTACATTATCTGGGCAGTGAACGCGCGTGCGATGTGACAGTATCGTGTATCTGCTTTAGCTACGACCAACTATTATATCACTTTGACAACCACGAACTTAAAATACCATCAGTTGTGTCACAATTTCCAGACCAGGGAACGGCCACTATGATTAGCTGGTTCGCCTTGTAAACCTCGCCTTGAAAGCAAGGTTTTTATGCCACCAACAATCAAAATACCCTTCTATGCCTGCTATACTGATAACAGTATTATGTTTGATTTTCTGAGGTATAATAGCAAACTACTTCAATCATCCGCCAACATGGCTGCCATCTGTTTGAATGTTTGCAACTTTTCTTCTATCCTCCAACATGGCGGTCAGTGATGTCTTTTGTCATTTTATTCTCTTGAGAATACTTGCACGGCCATGTTGTCGTCCAACATGACCGTAACGACCTTTTATATACTTTTTTTTTAGCATGGAAACGTGGGAATAGGTCCTACATGCCTGAAACAACGTTCTGGAATGAAGTACACCCTTTTGTCCGATGACACCACCCAAATCTGAACAAACGATCCATTACACCTCCTTTAGGGCTTTGATCCAGCAATCTGCTCTCATGCTGGAATTAAAACCAACAGACGGTGAAATCTGAAAGATAAGAGACTCACAAGCCGAGCAAACTGAGAAAACTTGCCACGAGTTATCGAGTCAAGCACTGATGCTTACAAGGCTAATAAATATTACCAAAAAATCGGAGATCATCAAATCAGGAGCAGCCTTTCAAAATTTCTTCCGGCGATCAACTTCTTCTTATTTCCTTAATTCCAAGCAAGAAGGACACATATTTATTCTCCAAAATGTGTGTGTGTGTGTTTTTTTTAAAGTACGCTTCAAAGCCCTTCGCCTTCGAGTTAATTACCCCTTGTATCAAAACATTCTTACTTCTTCCCTCAGGGCACGTTATCTTCGAAGTAGATCAGTCTCCATTAGCGAATCGAAGATATAAATGAATGAATGCTTTTGGTTTACGTGCCGATGATTGTTGTCATAATAGTCCGACTAAAGACTTCATTGGCTCAAATTTTCGTATTTGTCGTCGCAACATCCTAGCCTATACCGGCCGAACGCAGGCTACAACAAGCCTAAAAGGGCGTCTTTGGTAGCTTTGTGTGTTGTGTGATAGTTGCGGACCAATATCACTGAAGACTTTCCGTCACTTTGTTCACGAAATAATAATCTAATTATATAATTACAATAATAAACTTAGCGAAAGAAGCATAGACTGCCATGCAGTAAAACCATGAAATGAAAACTACGTAGCTATTCTATCATGGCCGATGTAAAAACAATCTACTGCTTGTGCTTGTATATATTAATACTACTACTACTAATAATAATAATAAACATATTATTATTATTATTATTATTATTATTATTAATATATTATGATTTTATGAATGATTGTTAAAAAGTTCCAAAAGACGTCAAATGCGGCTGCTCAAAGTTTAAATGCATGAATATGGGAAAAATAAATACATTCTGGATTGCACTGTAGGCTCTGTTATTGGCTTGATCTTAAACGTTCGCTTGAATAATTCAGACGGAAGACGTTCTTTGTTATGTCGCCCAGCTCTTACTGAGTCAAATCAATATTATTGAAGTTGCTAATGGCAACCATCTCGAGATACTTCCAAGGGCCCCATGCGAATCACGTAACTAGGAGTGTTGAGTGTTATGGACAATTTCTTTTAAAGGAGTGTTCTGTGGGCTACCAATCGGAAGTGATTGTATATCTAATTGTTACGTCCTACACAATGTTTTACGAGTCATGAGTAGGATCTGCTTCAGTGAATCTCGACGGTCTTTTCTTTATCCCCCACAACAATCAACAGTTCCTCCAGGAAATTACAATTTTTTCTCCAATTTTATGTTTTCCTATTTCAGACCACATGTCATTCCCTAGAGTATCATTTCATTGTTTAACGGTTGTGCATGAGAACAAAGAACGCCTAAGCTGAGAAATAAAGCCAGCAAATTTCTAGCTCCTTGTGTGTTAATAATGTACCATACTATGCGTGATTCCTGAACATTGTGCAATAGAAGATTACTAACCATGATTTCATAACTCCTACGGTTTTCTATTCATCTCTTTCCGCTTGACAGCAGGTAGATTGTCATCGGCCTGGACCATATATACCTACGCATCCCGCGCCCTGCATCCCGCGCGACGCGCGCGTTACTCGGCACCGTGACAAGCGCGCGCGAAAGTTGAGAAACCGGAAATAAATTAATCTCGCTTCCAAAAATAAGTATGGATTTAAGATAAATTAGCATATAGGCGCTAAAAAATACATTTTTCAGACGTTTCGAGGCTACTGCCTCTTTATGAGTGTAAATATATCCTCAACTCAAAAATAAGACAAGATTAAGAAGAAGGAAATTAGTGATTTTCATGTGATTTGAAGATCACGTGTTATGTTAATTGAGTATAAACAGACGGTAAAGGTTATATGTCAATTTATACATCACGACATAACGCCACTCGCTGTGATTGGCTGATTGTTGTGTTGAATTTCGATCGGTGAGGAAACCAGTTGACATATGGTTTGGGTTTCCTGTGCATTGATAAAATACGAGCACCTGGCTCTCCGCCACAGGCAACCCACTCCGTCCAAAGAACACCGTAAAATCTGCAGTGCATCATGTCTGTTTACTTTTATTACTCAAAGTATAGAAACACTTAATTCGCGAAAACACATTAATTCCTGTTTCATCGTACTCTTGTGGTGCTTGTGACGTCATCATAGCCGCCATTTTGGAAGACTTTAACAAGATATTTAGAATAGCGCAGCGCAACCGTGACGTCATAAAAACGAAGACAAAGGCGAAATTCGGACAAACAAACTTACAAGTTTACTTTCAGCAGATAATTTTCNAAAATAAAATACGACTAGAGTGGAAAGACAAAACCTGGCTTGATTCTTGTCGAAAGTTGACTGAAATTGTCCAAGTTTATTTTTTCTTCTTTTTGATTATTGAAGTTGCTAATGGCAACCATCTCGAGATACTTCCAAGGGCCCCATGCGAATCACGTAACTAGGAGTGTTGAGTGTTATGGACAATTTCTTTTAAAGGAGTGTTCTGTGGGCTACCAATCGGAAGTGATTGTATATCTAATTGTTACGTCCTACACAATGTTTTACGAGTCATGAGTAGGATCTGCTTCAGTGAATCTCGACGGTCTTTTCTTTATCCCCCACAACAATCAACAGTTCCTCCAGGAAATTACAATTTTTTCTCCAATTTTATGTTTTCCTATTTCAGACCACATGTCATTCCCTAGAGTATCATTTCATTGTTTAACGGTTGTGCATGAGAACAAAGAACGCCTAAGCTGAGAAATAAAGCCAGCAAATTTCTAGCTCCTTGTGTGTTAATAATGTACCATACTATGCGTGATTCCTGAACATTGTGCAATAGAAGATTACTAACCATGATTTCATAACTCCTACGGTTTTCTATTCATCTCTTTCCGCTTGACAGCAGGTAGATTGTCATCGGCCTGGACCATATATACCTACGCATCCCGCGCCCTGCATCCCGCGCGACGCGCGCGTTACTCGGCACCGTGACAAGCGCGCGCGAAAGTTGAGAAACCGGAAATAAATTAATCTCGCTTCCAAAAATAAGTATGGATTTAAGATAAATTAGCATATAGGCGCTAAAAAATACATTTTTCAGACGTTTCGAGGCTACTGCCTCTTTATGAGTGTAAATATATCCTCAACTCAAAAATAAGACAAGATTAAGAAGAAGGAAATTAGTGATTTTCATGTGATTTGAAGATCACGTGTTATGTTAATTGAGTATAAACAGACGGTAAAGGTTATATGTCAATTTATACATCACGACATAACGCCACTCGCTGTGATTGGCTGATTGTTGTGTTGAATTTCGATCGGTGAGGAAACCAGTTGACATATGGTTTGGGTTTCCTGTGCATTGATAAAATACGAGCACCTGGCTCTCCGCCACAGGCAACCCACTCCGTCCAAAGAACACCGTAAAATCTGCAGTGCATCATGTCTGTTTACTTTTATTACTCAAAGTATAGAAACACTTAATTCGCGAAAACACATTAATTCCTGTTTCATCGTACTCTTGTGGTGCTTGTGACGTCATCATAGCCGCCATTTTGGAAGACTTTAACAAGATATTTAGAATAGCGCAGCGCAACCGTGACGTCATAAAAACGAAGACAAAGGCGAAATTCGGACAAACAAACTTACAAGTTTACTTTCAGCAGATAATTTTCACAGCCGATCGCAGTTGATCTTAGTTTACATGGGTTATTATTGTAACTTTAAGTAAAAATAATAAAATCGGTTCGTATAATCCTCGTTGCGGTTAAACAGAATGCAATGTTTGTCCGAATCTTTAAGCTATTTTTAGAATCAGTGCGCTGCGCTATTGGCTTAACTTGTTATGTCATCCAACATGGTGACCATGGCTTTTGTCCCCTTTTTCCTGGGAAGGAATACACACCTTCTATGTCTAAGTTCTTTTCTTTGCTAATATTATTTAATAAATGCCAGATACACAAAACCAGGTGAGGGATTCATCAAGCAAAAGGACAAAACGTCCAATAATAAAGAAAGAATACTTAAACGAATTACACGTGGTCTAAAATCATAAAAAAGACTTAACGCCTAAACTAAGCTTCTATTGACTACAAAAACAACTGAATGCTCTGCGTAATCTATAATTTTATATCTTATTATTCATTATTATAATATACTAATGGTACATCAATAATAGCCGTCATTCTAATGCTTCTCCGGGTAAGGGGGTGGGGGAGAATCAGTGGCGGATCCAGGGGTGGTTCCGTGGGTTACATGGCACCCCCACCCCCTTTTGTTAGATCTTGTGAAGCAGATCATGTTCTTTGCGCTCAGTACAATGAAATTGAACCCCCCTTTCGCGAAGCCAGCCGTACCAGCTTTTCCTGCGTGGCGGCCATTTTGGAACCCCCCTTTTTTAATAAAATCCTGGAATCGCCACTGAGAAATGACTATAACTTATTATCGGGAAAGGGAGGGGGCAAGAAAAGCGACCATACAAAGTTAGGCTATTTTAATGAAAATAATTTATCTAATGGGCTTCCTGTGTCAAACATCGGAGGAGAAATGGGGGGAGAATAAGGTTCAATACCCTGCGTTGCCCTCTTACTTCTTAAAACATTTCACGCGAATACGCACATGATAGGTGGTCTTTACTGTCGTTTTTCTCAAGTCCTGTTTTCCACAGAAAGCCCACGTCATCTCGTGACAGTGCAGTCCACTTATCGCAAACTATATTCGAGATTTCAAATCTTTGTTGCTGTCTGTCTGTTCTATATATAGATATATTAAAAAGAGCTTTACAAGCTTTTCTATTCCAACGAAGGTATATCTTTATAGTTCTTGACCGTAGATGCCGGGGAAAGTTGATGAAGTAGTTGAACAGGGTGGATGGAAGTACACGGCTTTAGGGCGCATAGTGTAGCTGTATTTTTTACTCTTGCTCTATATTAATTTAGCACGTTGCTATTCCACATAGATATATCTTAACGTTGGTTTATTTAATGATAACTGTCCAATCTAGTATCACGTTGCTTTAGGCACTCCTTCTTGGCCATTTATGATCCTCAGTTTCTTATCTTGTCGGGTCTGCTAGACATTTCAAATATATCACCCATTGTTAATCTTAATCTTCGGAACTTGTGCATTAATTTGGTGGTGTCTTTTTACCATTCAAAGTTCAACCTTCTTTTGCTTCTCTTAGTCTTTCTTCGACATTGCTGTTCTCAAAACGTTTCGTAAACGTTTGATGTTGTTCCGCCTTTAGTAGCATCAAAACCTTTCGTTGTTATGTCAGCTAAGCATTACATCGTTCATAGGCCACTCTTTGTTCTTATTTCTCAAGCTTTGTGAAGTTGTTCGAAGTTTGTTAACTATCAAAATAATGACAACGCTCGATAATGAACTCAAGCACCATCAGTCCAAGTTGAAGAACTTGATGGTTAGACTAAAAGCACTTGTTTGGTTGCTAAGTTACCGTAACGTTGCTAAGTTACCGTAACGTTGCTAAGTTATCGTAACGTCAATTTTTACTTTGGGTACAAAGACAGCATTGAACCCAAAGCCTCGGAACGCATCTTCCTGACTAGTTGCTTAGTAACGCTGTTATTCTATTTTGCCGCTGTGGTAACGTTCATTAAAATTTTCTGTTTGGTTGCTAAGTTACCGTAAAGTCCATTTCATTTCTTTACCAAGACAACATTAAATCCAAAGCGTCGGTACGTACTTTCCACTAGTTGCTTCGTAACGCTATTTTTATTTATTTAGTTACTATGGTAAAGTTCATTCCTATGGCAACGTGACGTTAATCGGCGCAGTTGGCGCAGAGTAGCTCCATTCCCTCACGGACGAATCCTTCACTTGCGAGAGACCGCGAGCATCGACTACACATGAAACAGTCCTTGTGGAAGTTCGACTCGTCTAAGGTGTAATATTCACCCCCGACAATAGGCTTCATACAAATTTCACACTGCTTGGCATAAAAAGTACCATAGCATTCCATACAGTACCGAAATCCATCGCGTACAGAGAACGCATTGGCAGCGAGGGAGCGGTGGCAATAGTGACATGTAAAACAGGTTTTGTGCCAGGTTTGACCGCCGTACAGCACGCCTCCTTCTAGTAACGGCTCTCCACAGCCAGCGCAACGCTTGGAAAATTCGTTCTGAAAACACGAGGGGCAGTAGAATTCATCATCTTTTGGCACGAAGCCACTGGTTCCAATTTCCTTGGAGCAAATTTTACAGACGAAGCAGTGCTCGTGAAAGTAGTTGCCGTTGTATTCGAGCCGCGATCCGCCTGAGTCGATTGGCTTGTTGCAAGCTTTGCAAGCCTTTTGGTAGTTCGTTGCGTAGCATGTTGTACAAAGCGTCTTGTCCTTGTAGAAGGTGAACTTACCGTCTGACTGGAGGGGCCGGTGGCAGAGATCACACTTGAAGCAATAGTCGTGCCAGTGCCTGAATAGAACACAAAGGTTATTAGTTTGAATGAACTGAGCGGGAACACTGCAAAAGATGGTGGAGAAATAGCTGATAAACGCTTGCTCAACAGCAGAAATTTCCAACAGCAAGAGTACCATTAACAACAACTACAACAACAAAAGCAACAAAGGAATATGTAACAGCAAAATCGACAGCAGCAGCAGCAGCAACACACATAGCAACAAAGGAAACAGAAACTGCAGGAAAAAAAGCAACAGCTCTAACAACATCAATATCAACAGCCGCAACAACAAAAGCAGCAACAACAACAGCAGGAGCTACAGCAGCAGCAACAACAGCAGCAACAGCAACAGCAATAACAACAACAGCAACAGCAGTAACAGTAACAGCAAAAGCAGAACCAACAACAAATAGGAAAAACAAAAGTGAGCAATGATGGCTGAGAATGTGGTCATATTTTAATTGTAAGATACCTTTTGTCATCAGAGGAGATATCACGGCTTTCTGGACCAATCTTCTGCCCACATGCGTGACACTCATGCGCATAGGAATCCTTGAAGCAGTCGTTACATACTGGTTTGTCCTTCAATACGATAAACTGCTTCCCTGTAAAATAAATGATGACGATGATGTTATGGTTGGTAATGCATATTGATAATAGTATGATGATGATGGTGTTGATTAATGATGGTGATATCTTGATAATAATGGCAATGATGACGGTAAAAATAGTATTGACTGTGATGATGATGATGATGGTAATGATGGCGATGAAGATGATGGGATAATGATGGTGATCATGATGATAATGGCAATGATGAATGATAGGGGTGATAATAATATTGATGGTGATGATGAATGGCGAAACTGATTATGGTAATCTAATGATGATGATGATGACGATAGTGATGATGATGATGATGATAGTGATGATGTTGTTGATAGTGATGATGATGATGACGCATGATGATGATGATGAAAGGGCGAGGAGGAGGGCAAGGAGAAGGCATCCTCGGATAACAACAGCCTGTAACTAACAAACTGTGGACCTTTCACGATGGAAATGGAATTGGAAGAAGAAGAAGAAGAAGAAGAAGAAGAAGAAGGAAAATAAGTATTACCTGTTATACTGGAATCACAACGCTGGCATCTAAAGTGACCCAAATGCCAGCTCCTGTTCATGGCCACCGTATATTCACCTGAGAATATCAACTGCGAAAAGAAATGCATCTAATTATCGTTTCGGTAAAGCTCAAGGAATATAGCTTGTGGGACACAGCAACGGTAACTAAGGAAAGTTGCATGGAACCACGAATTGTACACCAATCACATGCTAACGTTACCTCGTCGCATCCTCCACACCGCTGCTTCGTAAGCTCAGCATGATGGCGGGCGCAGTATACTTCATCATCGCTTCGATAGTAAATCAGATTCACCAGCAACTCGTCACATGTCTCACACGAAAAGCATGCTGGGTGATAGACTGCTTCTTTGCCGATATCCTCGGCTATAACTGCTGGCTCGCTGCGTAGGATTGGTCTGCTACAGCGGAAACAGCGCTGGAAAAAAATATAAGAAAAAGTATAATATTTGTGCATACGATAAGAATATCAAACGCGCACGTGATATAAACACGGTAGGAGAGCACAAAAGAAGAAATAGACTAGTAAAAAAAGTTTACATTTTATCAAACCCTCCCAGACAATTTTCAGCGAAAAATCGAAGAGTAGGGTTTGGGTACGAGAATGAACCACTGGGCTGAACTAAATCAGGGTGATAATAATAATGGGATTAATAGTGGGTTTCATAGAGTGGTGGTATGGCTTACTCGAAGATAAACCTTGAAACAACCTCTGGGCTGACCTAAGTCATGGCATGGCTAACTCGCAGATCAAACCCTGAAACAACCTCTGGGCTGATCTAAGTCACGGTATGGCTTACTCGAAGATAAACCCTGAAACAACCTCTGGGCTGATTGAGGTCAGAGAAGCGCAAACTCACACATCGAATTGGAATTTAGCATAGTGGGTTTTGCGAAGGAAGAAAAACTGGAGAACCCTCGATTGAAGAGGCCCCAAAAATCTCGACCCACATGTGATGCTGGGTCCAGGAATAAAAGTGCACTTCCACTTCCCCAACCTTCATTTCCGAAAACGCATTAGTGTGAAAAAGGCTTATATGTTCAGAAGATTAATTACACACACCTGTTTACTTCCAAAGGGAAGCTTGACGACTCCATAACCCTTAGTCTGCTCCTCTTTTTTCCAGAACTGCGCGATACCATCTCGTTTTTCTGGAGACACGTTGGCCATCTTTGCCCTGTCTTGGGGTGGGTTTTGAAAGGTACATTGCTCATCATAGTACTTCATTCCTGGAGTTCCTGGAATTGGGACTTTTTCTGAAGGGATCTCTTTGAAGTACTCTTCGACCTATATAACCAAGGAGAATAATAGTAAGTTAGGGGATAATCCACATAAGTTTTTCACACTAGCTGGTTCGAGTTTGAAACACAGATCACTAAAGGCCAATTAGATGGAGCAATTTTCTCTGCAACTTGTCTCGTAACGGCGTTGCGACACAAGTTGCATGGAGCATTGCAGCGTGTAACCTACAGCGCAATTTGAAATAAATGTTGCCAAACAGTTGCAGCAATAGATGCCAAACGTAGAATGATTGCGTTTCCGTTGCACCGTGTAAAGACTATTGCAACTTGTGTCGCAACGCTGTTGCGGGACAAGTTGCAGAGGAAATTGCTCCGTGTAATCGCGCCTTAAAGCTACATTGAAGTCTTGCTATCTTGAACCTCCTAGGGACAAGAGGAAAGTCTCGAATTAACAGAGGTTCAAGATACCCAGGGCAAAATTGTGGTGACTCAAATTCACGAAACGTGGCCTCAATTCCAAGATAATTAAGCTTGTGTTTGTGTTACATTTGTACTTGAGTTCAGCCTGTTTTCACAACAACAAAAAATGACTCTCGTGAATGAACTTGCGACACTGACAGGTAATTTGATTACATGTTTAGCTTAAAAACTAATAAACGGGTGTCACCTATGATTGTCAATTATTCCGAGCCGGGGGCTTTGAAGGTGCACTCTTTGTACCCCTCGGGCTATCAATGCGCTAATAAAGCTACGCAGAACAGAGAGAAGTCCAAACAGCACTTTTAATATCATACAAAAATCTCACCTGGCTAGAGTTTAATCCAGGCGGAGCCCACAAATAGGTTTTGGTCGATTTATTGCCATTAGTAATGATGGGCGGGGCAGGAAAACTCGACTGGGCATCATTTTCAATTGCCGGTACATCCGGGAAATCATCCCCTTCGTCTTGATAGATCGTCAGGGGAGGGGGTGGGGGAGGCAAGTATTCATCAGAGCCGAACCCATTATTGTCATCTAGCTTGAGTCCACCGATCTTGAACTGAATCCCATTGACGCCTGAGCTAATATCGACGTTTGTTTCGATGTCATGATTTTCACGTGGACATTTACAATAAGTGCAATTTTTTCTGAAATTAAAATACAAATAAAAAAGATCAGTACCGTCCACGATCTCTTTCCAAGAGCCTGCGCGGTTTTTCCTAGTTTCTCGGTGCTGACCAGCAAAACCGTAGACTCGTAACCAGAAATTTTGACTACATTTTCCCGCCAATTTTCCAAGCATGCGCGTTACGTTATCTCCCTAATGTCAAGGTATCGAGTATTAAAGCGCATAAAATTAAGCAGGTTAATTTGTCGGTACGAAAGATCTGAGAGACAACTCTTTAGTGCACAGCATAGAGTAGATTGAGTAGTGTATTAAATGAGGTGACGTGTCCGGCGCAAGGGCTTTATGAGGTCATACTAAACACCTTGAGCTTAAATACTAGAAGAAACATAGGAAAGCATGTTGATTAAAGTTTAAAGCTAGATAACACAAAACTCGAGACTCAAGTTTATTAAACTTAAATAGAAAACAAAAAAAGAAAGGTATTTCATACGACTGGGAGGTTTCACTACAGGCAAGGCAGCCCAGTAAATTTGAAGTTGGAACTATTGTGCAAAAAAAATGAAAAGCTAACCTTACTTCGCAATGAATTCCTTACAAAAATCATTTTCAAATGAGCTGAAAACCTTACGAACTTAGTGTCAAATAATCAAAGAAACAGAGTTTTTGCGATAAGCTCATGAAAATAACCTCGAGTCTTCTATAAATATATAAACGAGGGTTCTTCTGCTTTCTTAGGTTAATCCAATTTCGACTTTAAGGTCATAAAATACTTAAGCTGTAATCTCTCGATAATTTTTTAAGTTACTAAATCCTTGTTTTAGAAATTACGGGAGTAGAATTTCAAGCATCTTTCTGGATAGATAGAGAAGCTTAACATTGCTTGATAAGATCAATATATCAATGGCGTCGGGAGGATTTTGTTTTTAAATGGAAAGGGGCTAATTTTAGAAATAACATGCTTCGAGATAAAGGTCGAGAGAATTCACAAACATGAATTAATTCGCCTCAAATAAAATTGAATTTCACTCATGAAAATAATATACTTACTAATTTTTTTGAGGAACACAATGCCTCGAGGCAATTCATTCATACATATCACTGAAATTATTTCATCGTGTGCAGCAGTTTTGTCTAATGATTCAATGTGTTCAGTCAATTGACGTGTGTAGTCTGGAGATAGCACCAGAAGGATATCAAATCCCTTGTGATCAGATTTCTAATCCCTCTCGATAGAAACATTTACAACGGAAACATAAAATTGCACAAATTATCTGCAAGGAATTAATCCTTTAAAGAAAAAAGAAATTTTGCATTTGTTTTGTACCTTTCTGAGTTCAAGAAAATTTCCCGCGCTTTTCTGTACGTGACGCGTCTACACAAAGCAGGAATTCTGAGGCTGTTTTGGCGGTAAAATCACAGGACGCGTGTGGGCTGAGATATACAGGCGTTGTATGGCGGGAAAAAATTCCAATAAAAGCAGTGATCATTGCTTCATAATATCATTAAAACACTCAAAAAAATACAAAACAAAAACTAAAGATAAGCATTTTTTAACAATAATGTTAGCTTAAAAATCGATAAAGAATTAATGATAATAAATTCTAAAATTAATATAAAAGCGGGAATTACTATTGATGTCTGAGGTTTTCATTGACGGATTTTAGTCGGATAAAACTTCCTTTTGAATAATTGTTAATTGAAAGCCACGCCAAACCGACGGTGAAAGTTTTTTTAAAGTGACCTCGCACTTTTCAAACCTTGACAGGAAACTCTGGCTTCCTGCCGAAATAAACTCGTTATCATCACTATTTATTTTAAACCAACTTGGCTCATAAAATTCTAGATGGTATCTAATAACTGGCTTTCTAAATAACAGAATATCCGTACCGTATCATATAAATGTTACTTCGTAGATTTAGGACTTGCTTTTTAAGGCATATTTATCAATCTAAGTCAAAGCTAGATACGATTTGGTCGCTTTCGTCAAGAACCGTGTGATCATGCAATAATTTGAAGACGCTGAACAATTTTGACGGATCAAAACGCATTCTCATAGTAGCTTACCTTGTCTTTTTCATTCTGAAAGACTGAAAATTAAACCGTGTTATAAAATTCATGAAAAACAAATGGCTCGAGACTCGTGAATTCACTGCTGGTATTATTCATAATCATTCGGTAACAAGGTTTCTCGACTGGAACGTCGATTGTATTGGTCAAAATCACGAAGTTAAAACCACAAAGACGCTCATATCGAAACGCTTTTGTTCATTTTTACAAAGAAGAACTCGAATTGATTAAGACAAATAGTGTTGTTTACACCTCCACATTTCGTGTTAATACTAGTACGTTAGTAGTTATAAGTTAAATTCAATTAATTCACTAGAAAACAAAGTCACGCGAAGTTTTGTTAACGAAGACGGATGAGAACCAAAATTTAACCTCTCCTTGATAAATAAAAGTAAAAAAGAGTAAAATTTTTTTAGGAGGGTTAGTTTACAAACAACCCAAGCCCTTCCTACCAAGCCTTGATGCTTTGTCTTAAACTATTTGTGATTGTTTTCAGGATACTTAATTTGGGCAATAAGTCACGAACCGCGGAGCACAAACAACATAGCCACAAAAGGAATTCAATATTACTAGAATTTTTGCTAGAATTTTATCCAGAAAAAGCCAATGATAACGACATCTTTGAGCAAAAGGAATCCTTAGTAAAGCTTGTATTTTCTTTCAAAGCTATTCAAACCAACAGACAAATAAAATCATTTAAGTAATAACATAGGTAAATACTGCAAGATTACGTTGAAATATTTAAATACAAGGAAAATGTGTGCTCATGTATTCATCAGCCTTGGGGTATTTTGACCTCTGCATGGTCGATCAAACGAAAGTGTAAAATTATATTTTTAAAATGTTAAAGCAAAGCTGAAACCGCTCAAACATGAGGTGAACTTAAACTGAGTATTTTAAAAGCAAACCAATGTGACCAAAAAAAATGAATTTAATAAAGTACTCTTCAAGAAATAAAGAAACCACGAGATTTTATGTAAATAATCATTTAAAAAAACTAAATTTTGTTTCAATTTTGATTTAGAAAACATCTGTCGTTTCGCCTTTTTATTCATTTTTTTAAAATCTTTTTTTAACGAAAAATCTCAATACTATTTTAATCGTTTTTCATACATTAGAGTGAGCTTACTTAAGATTCTAAAAGCGAATATATTCAAGTCTTTCAACAGTCCAAATCTGCACAAACTGAAACCAAGGACTACTTGTTGCTTTTCATAATATGTCAACATTGTACAATGACATACATGAAAGCCTTTCATTCAAAATAACACAGTAAGATAACGACAGGCTTTACATTATTTATACATAAATATTGTTGTACAAATTCAATGAGGTTCTATAAGGCATAAATTCATATTCAGGGAAAATAATATGCAAACGCTGATGAAAAATTGATGACTTTGTCTTAGGAGTAGATTTTAGATTTTTTTAGAAGATATTTCCTTGATGCTTTTTGCCATACATTTTTTTTTAGTATCATACATTTAGTATAATACAATGTATTTTTGAGAGATGGTGTATTTGGTAAGAATACTGGATATGTTTTGTCTATATTGTGAAGGACTCATAACATAGATGTCCTGCAATTTGCCGGCTAGTCGCACCAAGACAATCAAGCGAGATCACTACAGTAACCCTGTACAGTTCGAATTCTCTGTCGTGGGTTTTGAACCGTACTTTCATTCACCAAACGCTGTCAAATGAAGAAGCTTCAAAAACACATGTCTTGCCAAATGTATCTTGAAGTTTCATCCTTTCGCATTCGTTTGTCGCTATTTTATCGCAAAATGCATGGGAAAAACATCACAAATACCTTGATTTACTCTCGATTTGATTCAGTACCAACCTTGTCTTTACTATCAAGCTAGGCCGAGGTGGCTTCTTAGGGATTTTCTTGACTATCTTTGCTTCGACTAAGGTTTCCGTAGCCATTACAATATGTCAACTCTAGCCAGACCCTTTCAAAAATTGAACAGGCTTTGACAAGATTCTCGATATCGTAACAACACGTTATCGAAAGCGCTATTCAATGATTCATAAGTCTATTGAATTGTTATGACTAGGTGACTGTAGGTCTGTTTCCTATAGGTCCACTCAAGTGATAAAATAAAACTGAGCAAAACTGACAGGATTGTAGATACAAACCAATTAACTAGCTCAAAAAGCCGTTTAATGACTTCAATCGCATTCGGGGTATTATAAATAAGTTCAAAAAAAACATTCATGTTAAAGAAAAAAAAGTTCCGCTCAACGGTCTCAAGACAAAACCCCTTCCCCTACACTCTAACCAGAGTAAACTCTGGTTTGACATTAAATGCCATATCCTGGAAGTCAAAAACCAAAAGATTTCCCCAACATATGCTGGTAATTTTTCACTGGAAACCTTCAGGTCTAGGAAATGGCATGATAGCAGACTGGGTTTTGACTTCATTAGAGAGAAATCGTTAGTACTTTGATGATGATTCGTCCGGCGCACCCATTATAGACTTTTGACCACAAAACAATTAAGATATTAATATTCTTAAGTAGAATATTCAGAATAAAGTTTACAAGACGCTATAAAACTATTCAAATATTGATATAAATACTATTTTCATTTCATTTTTTAGTAATTTGTGTAATGAAATAGAATAGAAAATGCAGAGTTTGCGAGTGCTTTGGATATACTTTCTGGTATTCAAATGTATTGTAGAGTGTCCCATCTGGTTTTTTTCCAGCGAAAGATTAGTATTGTAAAATACAATGAATATAGTATTAAGAATTAACATCAAACTGTGATAAGACAAAGAAATATAACACTTAAGACGCGATAAAAAATACTAAAAATGTTTGCTGAAAGTCTAGATGATTTTCAGCACGAACCTGTAGTCAACATCAACAGAACGCCTTAACATACCATCTGCTTCCACTACTAGTATTTGTCTCGCGTTTTGGACCTGACAATAATGTTTCAGTCTATTTGCCCATCAAATCATTACTATCCACAGGGATTTGATAAAGTGGTTGTTTGTTCTTTCGTACTTACTTCCAGATGTGTAGACTAAATCCAGGACACTTGGAACCACATCTCAGGCAAGGTTTCCCTTCGTCAATATCTTGAAGTAAAATCCCCTAAAGAGATCCAAAGATCCTTATTCTAAAGACATTTCTGCAAAACATTTTACTGAAGTTTTATACCGTTAAGCTTGGGTGCAAGAGCATAACTGAACGATTTTCAATGGTTGAGTATCGTCGATTGGATTCTTACCTTCTTCGAAGCAGATGACCTCTCTTGGCTCATTTGGATTTCGTCAGAGTAAAGAGCTTCTGTGTAGGTATCTACTGGAGGTTTATAGCGCGTTTTCCCCCTCGATTGATTCATCTTTTATCTCCTAAACTCTCCACACTGCGAAGCAAAACTCACATAAGAATTTGCAAGCTGATATCTGTCTAATAACTGAAGTTCTGTTTTAGTAAACTTTTGCGTAGCCAATGGAAAGTAAAGGTCAAGCGCGCGAGAGATTTAGTGGACGCGCGAGCATCGACTTAGCGTTTCTGATACTTAGGAAGATATAAAATTTGGATGAGGACCGACTCTACAGTATTCTGTTACAAGGTTTGCCGGTGAGAGTAAAGTTTCGAAATGAAGGCATTGCTGAAACCTTAAAAGTAAAAATATACTTTTACCATCATCGCGAAAACTCGGGGCGTCGCAAACGGATTTCCCATAATTTTGTGTATAATTTGTTGCTATACTTTTCTTGTTCCTGTCATTCGTGCTCAATATGACAAACGTTACATTAAAAAAACAGGACGCATTTAAAGAGTATGCGTCGGTATTTGTTAAGACTTATCTGCTCTCTTATCATCGAGTTATATATTTACGTAATCGATTGCCTAATCATAAGAAAAACTTCAGAAGATAAAGAGACGACTATTTATGAGTTGGACAAATGCCACGCACGGGAAAAGAAGATCGATAGCTTTTTGCAGGGACACGAAAATGAACGTTTGACCATTTCCTTACGGTGAAAAAATAAATAAACGCGATAATAATAATAACAATAATATAATAATAATAATAGATTAATTTGCTCGTGTTCATTGGAAAATCGGAGAAAGGTAATATTTCAACCTTGCGTTTTCGTGTGCAAATGTGTTGCACGTTCAAGATGAAGACATTTTTGCTTCTGATAGAGCAGATATGCTAAAATGCTGCTGCCTGATGCCGAAAAAACTGATGGTAAGTATATAAGAGAGTGACAGCAAAACAAGAGAATAATTTCAGTTGTGCCGCCCTATTTATTGGAAACCGAAAAGTGTCCATAACTTTCAAAATCTGATTTTTTCTTCATTTGGCATTTTCCAATTTTCGAATATTAATCATGCGAAACTATTGTCAAAAATTTATCAAAATTTTACTAAACTACTAAATGATGTGCAAGACGTAACTGTTAAGTAAAAGACATCGCTAGTTTTTCAGACAAAAGAAAAAAATCTCAAAATAGCACTGTAGAAACCTAAAACTGAATATCTGCACGTGTAATTAAAAAAATAGATAATTCCAGGAAATGTGTGGGTTACCGTGGTTTTGGAGTTCGGGTCATATTTAAGCCATATTAAGTCATGTAGTATAGTACGTTGCGTGCACGATCGTGTGACAATTCTACTTCCGGTTTGTTGCGGAACTTGTGGTTTTGATTTTCGGTTGCTGTCATTCCAAAGTCGACACCTCACATATTTTCTTTGCTTTCCTCTCATTTCATTATTTGCCTCTTTTCAACCTCTTTTCACTTGTTCCCACTTTTCTTTCGATTCCCTTTTCGTTTCTTTCAATTCCTTTCCTTAAATTGTCTTTGTTATCTTCTTTTGAATTGTTAAAGAAACTGAATACCACAAAAAATGGATGGTGCAACGAGACAAGAAAAAACTGAGAAATTGGGAGAGTGAACTCCCAGAATGCAATGCAAGTTCAAATTTTCAAAATAGCGTCTGGCTTTCGCTTGTTTGTCGATGCTGTAGGTAATTTCTTCGCTAGAACTAAATTACGATTAACAATACGACTAAGTATGTAAAGGTTACTAAGTTTCTGTGCGTATTCCTTCTATTTTGGCGGTAAGAGGAAATCGGCTATTTTTGACAAAGGAAATGCCGAAAAACAACCGCTTCCTGGGTTAATGAGCAAATTATGATAAGTGAAAAGTTGCTCGCGGCTTTCTCAAACGTCAAGTGATTTGTCAGAGAGGACTTTTGTCCTACGCACGCCGGAAAAATCGTTTGAAAAATATGATTTGCTTCAATTTCACATTCTTGCACTTCTATAATGAGACACACCACCACGCTTTGCCTCAAAATATGAAATATCAAAAATATTAATTTAATAAAGAAAAACGCAATATTTTATTTATCACTTTTGTCAAAATGGGCTCCCTGTGGTAACTTATATAAAGACAAGATTTTCTTTCTTCGGCGAACTTTCTCGAATTCTAATCAACCAATTAGTTCATTATGAGGAAAATAAGACACCTATTTAGTGCAGCGCGATCATTTCCAGATGAATCTTGATCACGTGAGGGCAAACACAATTTGCGCGCGCTTCCTGATGTTGACAACATAATAGACCTCGCTCTCGAATTTTAATACGCTGAAGGGGCTATAAAAAATCATTTCAACTTTGAGGTTTGACCAGATGTTGAAATACATTTACTGTATTCCAATAATTAGCCCAACCCTCATCTCAATTTTACCTCACCTCCATTCCTCGAATCTTACTTATGTCAACCTTCTCCCATAGAGATTGCCGGCGGCCATGTTTGATGGAAGTGAGTTGAATTCTTTCTAAAATAAATGCAAGACAGTTTTTATTGTTTCTGCCATCCTCTTTCCCAGTCTCCACCTCACCTTTCCCCTCCACCCTCTCATCTTTTGTTCCCATATTCCTACTCCCAATCCTCACTCTTTCCCACCTAACTAATATCCACCTCCTTCATCTACGTCCACCCCCTCTTTAACTCATGTTCACCTCGCCTCTCCCCCTCTATACCTCAATTCCACTTTCCCCCTTCCTTCCACTATCGAAAGTAGTCTTCACCTTGGGCTTCCCCAGCTCAACCCCATACTCATCTTCATCCTTACCTCTTCTTCTTCCCCTACCACCATTCAGCTCATCTTCACCTAACCCCACCCCTATAACTCAATTCCACTTTCCCCCCTCCCCACCCCACTATCTGAAGTTGTCTTCACCTGGGGCTTTCCCAGTTCAACCATTCATCTTCAACTTTTCAACCTTATCACCAAGGTAGGAAAATTAGCGAACATATATGTATGTAAACAGCCTTATCTGATAAAAGCTGATGCTATTATGTAACTTACCATAGGAAAACCAAGACAGCGTGATTAACTTTCGATTAATTCTTGGGTGTGTACGAACTTTGGACCTCATCAGTATTCACTTTCCTTGAAAACCTAAAAGCAATTCCTTCATGGATTTAATCTTTGACGCGGAGATTCCTATCCAAGAATGTCAGAATGGAGAAATAGACCGTTTTTGAATAAAAAGATATAACTAGCTAAAAACTAGTGTGAGCTGCGTCGGTGTTTCTAATGAAACAGTAATGATGAAAAGGTAAATTATACACCGTGAAAAGATGAAAAAACTTACTGACGTTTCGGACGCTAGTCCTTCGTCGGAGTAAAAGAGAAAGAAGTGGTAGAAAGGAGTGTATATATGATAGAATAAGACAAAAGAAACCAATGAGAGCAAGGTAGGCAAGGAAACAAAAACAAACAATCAAAAGACAAAAGAAAAGGTTAGTTGAAAATAAAGCGTTCATTAATCCCGTTGGGACTAAGAGTGCCCAATAGGTGAATAAGCCGCATTTCTTTGGTCTTGCGACAATCATTGTTGCCGTTAAGCAAAGAAAGACCGAAAACAATGAAGTCAGAAAGAGAATGGTTAGCTAGATTAAAATGGCGGGAAACTGGTTTGGTGGGATCGTTATTGCGAATATCATAAAGATGATTTTTGAATAAGTTAAATACCGCTGTGGTCATTGATTACAGACTCATTTACTCAGGGTTAGCCTCGTATCAGTTTCCAAACAATCACAAATACCAACGGTAATGTAAGGAATGCACAACTTCAACAATACAAACACTTTGAAAGATCGAGGCTAACCCTGAGCGTCATTTCCTACCACTACCAGAATCCCTCGCACACTTTCTTTTGTTCAGTTAATTAGCACCAATTGTCTTTCTATTCTCATGAGGAAATGCAAATTTGAACAAGAAAGAAAATTCGCGAAGCATTTTGGTAGTGATAGTAAAATAACTGGAGTATTAAAACGCAATGATTGTCTGTCGAGTGATATAATTACTGTTATCCTAATCATTTATCCATTAAGTATACGTCCCATGGTATAATCATGAAAAATCAATTTTATGACGCTACGAGTCACAGTTGTGGAGGTATTCTAAACACACAAGGTGAGATGAAGGCAAATACCAAATCAATCGAATTACACAACTTGTCGTGTAAACAATGTTTATCTACCCTTGACTTACTTATCCAAAGCTGGTGTAAAACGCGCGCGCATTCAGTTTACAGAATCATTTTTAGCACCACGAACAAAAGAGCAGATATCTTATGAGAAGCGCGCGCTTCGTGGCCGATAACTATCAAATGGCTTTCGTTTTCAGCCAATCAAAAAGAGAGAAAGGGAAAACTATCCAATCACAATGCTTGAATTTCGGAAGCCATTAAAGGAATTAGCTTAAAAAATTTTATTGTAACATTGAAATGAATCAATAAAAAAGCGAAGAAAGGAATACTATGAAATCATATTAAAACCCTGCCCAAGTTTTCACGCGAATCATATGACTAATATCTGTAATATTTCACATATCTAACCTTATTATTTTTCAATATTAATAATAACACCTTTATTAGACAGGGCACACTGTTGCCATACTTGTGGAAACATTTGATGCAGATTTTTCTTGCTGAATTTAGTTTTGTCAAGACCAATTAATTGAGAATCTCAAAAAGTTATTAAATATATCCAGCCGAATTCCAGGAATTAAACCCAATACTTCTTACCGCTAATCTCAAAAATTCAAAGCGATAGAAGTTCAAAAGTCATTAAGTATCTTGGCTGTTCAAGATCTATTTAAGCCCTAACAAGCTTAGAAATGGCTAAAGGGCGCGCCACAATCTTCGAGGAAAACGCGCGCCCGTGTTAAACGAAATCTAACTCACGACAGTGGGTGAAAAGCTTAGTCTGAACCTTGGTGCCACATTGTGCGTAATTAGTTTTGTAACAAAAACTTCATTTATTGTTTTAGTACCTTGTAAGAGATAACGAGTCTGTGATGATTATTTAATTCTTTTTGTCAAAGAGATAAAACTGTTGAACTTGAGTAAAACTTATTAGATGAAAAAATAACTTAGATTTCTATTTTATTTTTAATAGTGGCGCCGGCGGGACTACGTAGTCATAATTTATGATTTATGATAGATTGTTAATTAACAGAAAACCAACGCAAAACAAAAGAGCAGTTGCGAAACGTTCGCAGTCATCGTACATTAGTTATAAGTTCGTTCCCAGAGCCTGCATTCCTCTTGGTCAGTTTCTCGGTGCTGACCAAGAGAAACGCAGATTCTCAGGGGAACGAGTTTGCAATACGTCACACTGATGAAAACAATAATGTGCATTCTCTTAACACAGGCGGGGAAATGGAACAAGCGTCAAAATACAGATTGAAAATATTTAAAAAAAATCAGATCCATTAGTCAAACCTCTCGAAGCAACTTGGTTTTAGAAGTCATTGTCCATACATGATAAGATTTTTAAAAAAACGACTGCGCATGCTTGGAAAAAGTTAGGTTGGAGGGAACTAAAATGGTAAACTCGTTATAAACACAGATTTCAAAATATACAAAAAAAATTGATTCACACAACACGCCTGATGAAGACTAGTGGTTCTAGTCGAACCATTGCCTTGTTTCATAATAGCTAGCTTATATATAGCTTGCAAACATTTTTCGAAGCCCAGAAGAGAAAAATTATCTCCTTGTAGAATATGATAAGAGAGAATTCCCAGTCGCACTTCTATTAACAGGCCGCCCTCAAAAACCTGTCAAATGGCCGCTAAATAGAGGTTGACCACTTAAACTAAAGGTTTTTTAACTGCTTAATAGGAGGTCGCTAAATAGAGGTTGGCCACTTAAACTAAAGGTTTTTTAAACTGCTTAATAGGAGGTCGCTAAATAGAGGT